AAAGGCAACGTAACACGGCATACACGCATACAGCAACACACACAAAAGTAAGCAAAATAAGAGCAAACATATCATTTCATCTCAGAGCTCGCATTCTCGTTCTCGTCGTAGAACAATGGAACAATATCTGTGAACGTATTTGTATTTGTATGGCTGTCGTTTTCGTCATTGTGTTCGTTCCTCAGGGAATGTCAAACAAATGACAGTTGATTAGACAAGAATCTAACGTTCAGAATAATAGCAAAGCAATGGCTTACACGACAGACAAAAAAATATATATAATAGAAAAAAAAAAAAGGAGCATCAACATGGAAAATTGTAAAATTATGCAATTTCGCACCGAAAGCTTCGAGCAGATTAAATGGAGTAGATATAAATACACACCGAACCGCACACAAACACATTCGCCCATATAATATACACACACTTAAATAAGCAAACGCAGACAAAGCAAGAAAAACTTAGACTAAAAAATTGACTGCAGGGTCTGTACGTTTGTATGGTTGATGTAAGCAAATGAAGTAATAAAAGTAAGAAAATATTAAAAAAATAAAAAAAAAAAACGTTAAGGGTTTAAATAACAGTAACAAGAAAGTACACGCGCACACTCACGCAAACACACATACAAAGATCTTAACAAAATTGATAAGAAATTTTCCAGCTACGTTTCGTTTAAAATCCAATAAGTTTAAAGGTGCGAGTGTATGTAATACGTGCATGCGTATATATGTATGTATGTTTTTGTATGTTTGTGTGTATATGTGTGTGTGTATGTGTGAATATATATTTTGGGTGGAATTGTTTAAGCCTCCGGCTGTTTAACAGGATTTAAGTTTAATTTTATATTCACACACAACAACAGCAGTTAATAGTGTGTTTTTGTTATCGTTGTTATTATAATAGGATTGTTTCACTGTTGTTCGCCTCTGTTTGCCTATTCTCTTCTGAGCTTGTTATATGCAGTTAAATAAACAGTTAAAATGGCCATTTCTACACCATTTTGGCAAACCTCATAATCATCTCCGGAAGCTATTATGCGTGTATGCGAAAGTTCTCTCTTCCTTTCTCTTCCTTCCTTCCTCTCACGCTTTCAGTCGGTCTTTTTGTCTCTCTTTCTCTATAGCTTTCTCTCTCTCTCTCTCTCTCTCTCTCTCTCTCTCTCTCTCTCTTTCACGGCGTGTCCGTGATTAAGCGTGGCTAAGTTTAGGCGTGCGTAAGTAATATGCCGCACTACCACAACAGTATCATTTTACAGGGCTTTTGATGTTGTTTTCATTGTTATTGCAGCCATAAACAAACAATTGAAATAAACAATTTACATCGTAATATCATTATATACTTATACATATACATATACATATACATATATATGTTACTGTATATATGTGTGCGTGCAACTATGTTTAGAGCAATTTTATCGTAAAATTGTGGAAATTGATTAAATTATATTTGGTAAAATACTACGATTATGGTTTATTTGTTTCGGCCTTCGCTTAATAGAAACTATTTCATGCGAAGCTTAACTTTTAAGTGTCAACATTAAATATGTCCATAATATCTGTTTCAATATAAGAAAATTTGAAAATAAATTGCTGTTGGCTTTCATTCATATATATATATATATATATATATATATATAATTTTTGGAGAAATGATGACAGTTGAAGGCATGACTTAGTTTATAGGCAGTTTTCAAAAGTCAAAAGAATTATTGAATTGTCTAGACATTGTGTTATGATGATATGACATATGATATATGATATATGATATATATATGTTTATATAAGGAATCTTCGCGATGTAATGACCTGCTCGTCTCATTCGCTATCAATTAATGGGATGTGTATCTCGCAAAGTTGTTCCTTAATTAACTGCTGTAAAGTATCGGGAAATTTTATGTCGAACAAGACGAGCAGATCACCACGTCGCGAAGGCTCGTCGGGGAAAGGCAAGCCCCGACCATTTATACGCTTGATATTGTTTGGTGTTATTACCTCGCTGTGCGTATTTATTGTAACTTGATCACCTTGCAATGTTGGCACATGCACCGTAGTTCCACACAATGCTTGCGTGAGATTGATTGTCACATGGTATATAATATCAGCGCCATTACGTTCAAACAATGGATGCGGCTTATCAACAATGGCGAATATTATATCGGCAGGCATTTTTTCCCGAGCTTCGTTACCTTCTTCTTTATATATTACTTCAGTGCCCGATTTCGAACCCGCTTTTATTGTAACGTTCAAGATTTTTTCTTCTTTGCGGGCTTGGCCAGTTGACATTGACATCCGTGTGACCTTCATTGTTTTCACGCAACCTTTATCAATTTCTTCCAACGAGACATACAAATTATGTTTGATGGGAGGATTTTCATGTTTACGTTTGCTATTTGGCGCAGCATTAAATGAATGCGCATAGGTATATGTGCCAGTTGGTTCGCCTGTTGCCACTGGAGATCCGCTTTTAAGATTCTTGTCATAAACATCGTGTTTCTCTTTGTCTGACAATACCGCATACGCCTGACCGATCTCTTTGAAGCTTTCCTCAGCCTCTGGTGCTTTATTCTTATCCGGATGACATTTCAAGGCCAATTTGCGATACGCCTTCTTGATTTCATCGTCATTGGCATTCCTACTAACGCCAAGAATTTCGTAGAAATTTTTACTCATCTTATTGTTTAGCTAAGCGCAAATAGCTTTCACGGCACAAACAAAAAAAAAAAAAAAAAAAAAAGCAAAAAAGAAAATCAAACATCTACCCAACATTTAATATTATGTGTACGAGTCCTTACAATTTTTCGAATATTTGCTGCTCTCGCTCTGAATGAATTTCATTCATAAAAAATCAATTTATATGATTTTTTGCTTTTTTCCCTTGGTTTTTGAAGAAAACTTTTTCTATGCCAAAGAAAAACAAAAACAAAACTCAATTTGCTTTTCTGTCTTCTCTATAGCTTATAACTAATTGTTTTTTTACTTTCTACTCGAATTTATAAGACGCACGTTCCGTATTCTGGAAACTTCGAAGCAAAAGCGCGCGATTTTATTTTCAATTATCCCGTAATTAGTTGCCGTTGTTTTGTAAAGGGTTGTCAACGTGCTTTTACCAAGTTTGTCAAAATTATTAAACAATATCGTTTAACGGCCGTCAAGCCTGTTGAAATAGCCCGTAATAAAATTTTTTTTTAGATGAAAGACGACGTAGCAGAATAATAATATTCGTCCAGCGTTCCTTAAAGTGTAAAAGAAAAAGGAAAATGTTGCGGAAAGATATCAAGAAAGACAACGTCAAAGTAATTCGCTGCAAAGATCTTCGCAAAAGTCTCTACTACAAGCTTATAAAAATTCAAATCCCAACATACAGTTACACAGGGTAAGTATCTTTCAATGTGTGAGCACTTTCGCAATTAAACTCTAATCCAATAATTAAGCTCGCAAAACAGGTGAAAAACGATTGTAAAAAAACGTAGTATGAATAAAAAATCATTACGAATATATGCTCATAGATTATTTAAAGTAATTAATCTTTGCTGAACAGTATTGGTGTTAGTTGAAGGAAGCACTGAAAGCTTTCGATTCGCTTCCAGTCTCCAATCTCCAGTCTCCGTCTAACGTTGGTAACAAGCTAAATAAAAACAATGCAATAATCTCACACAACTTGGCTTAACTTCGTAGCCATTAACATGAATTAATGATCAATGAAAAATCGAAAATTTCAAGAGGTGTAACCATTACTTTATCTATCTTTTGGCCCGAGCATGAATTCTTTGGGAGAAACGAGATTGACACTTTCAAGCAATGTCATAAGAATTGAAAACCTGCTCGAACAGCAGTAGCAGCAGAGTAGTACAATCGCTTATAAGTGTATAATTGACCGCAAACAAATATTTGCTTGAGTATATGAAAAGAACAAAACAATAGAATTTTACGTATCCACCTTAGATAAAGCATACGCGTATATATATATATATTTCGTAAGTTTTTCTAATGGATCGACGCATTAATGGATCAATCATGATGATTTTGTATGGATGCCAAATAGCAAACTTGCACATGTCCAAGTTTATCGTTTTTTTTGGCAAAGATGATTGAAGTTCAGGCACACGATTAGTCTTCTGTCTACTATCATTCTTCAAATATACTTGTTAGTGGACATTGTGAGCGATAAGGACGCAGTTGAAATTTGTAAACTGATACCATTTTGTTTAAAAAATGTAGCAGAGAGTATTAAGCTGCAGTAGACAAATCTGAATGTTGATAATTTTATGGTGAAATGTATTCCGAGTGACCAAAAAAAATTATAAAAATGAATACCGGAAAGAAAAGATGGAAAAGTAAAACTTTTGCTTAAATAAGCATAGGGAGTGGCACTATTTTGAATAAAGAAAGAGCAAACTGTTAGGTAAATTTTGAGGAAACACTTTGCGAACACTCTCAGCATTTCCTAGCAGTAAAATTGACAAATTTGGGCAAATTTATTAAAATAGTTAACAGTGTTCATCCAATGTCAAAGCGCTTATCTTTGAAATCATATTTGTACTACAGGTAAGCCTCTATTCGTTTCTTCTTTCTTTCTTTCTCTGTCCACTCGCAGAAGCAACAACATTTTCTAAATAAAAAGAAATAAATAAATAAAAAACCGAAAACTACAGATGCTTTTAAAACATCACAATTACTTTTTAGAAATCGCAAAGCTTCAGTGAGAATCACTTTTTGGATATCACACAATTCCAATGGGAATTACTTTTCCAAGATTACGTAACGAAATTGTTAGGTGTGTCAATATTAATCCCAAGCTGGTTAGTTCTCTTTTTACAATTTATTCGGCATTAAAAGAATTTTTAAAGAAATTTGTTGCATACAATTTGATGCTTGACGTTTCAAATACTTATAGCATAATTTTAGGATTTAGGATTTTTAAAGATTCTTGTTTCCATGAATTGGTTTTTCTTGCTTTCAATTTAAAGATGCTTTTTGTTTCAATTAAAATTCTTCGGCTTCTAAGAGGCTTTTTATTTTGTTTTTTTGCCTCATATTTTTTAAGCAAATTAATGAAAAATATAATAAATGATTTAATTAACATAAGCAAATACATGTCAAAAAAGCCACATGCTGCTATATATCATTTCAAATAAACGAATAAAAGAGAAATACGAGCTTTACGAACATAACATAAGAAGCCACTAACACTGCTAAGTGGACAATATGACAACAACGTTGACATAATTACATAGACTTTTGTTTTTTGCGTTTTTATTTTGCTTTTTAATACTTCATCCGTAACTGCTGTTTGTTTTTCTTAATTTTTTTTTTTTTTGTTTCTTTTCTTTCTGTTCGTGCAATATTTTTTTTGGGTTTTCATTTATTTAAGTCCTATACACTATAAAACTTTATACTTAGGGTTAATGATTATGGCTGCCGTGCGTTTTGTTTCGTGCGCTACATTTAATGAGATTAAAATTAATTATACAAGTGAGTATAACTTGACGGTGAACCACACTTACACTTCATGATGTTTTCACTCTCATCTGCTTTTTTTTAAGTGAATCAACCTGAAAATCTTCAAGATGAACGAAACCTTTTGTAGGGAATTCAGAATTAATTGCTTTTTAAAAAAAAAAAAAAAAAAAAAAAAAAATACTTTAACAAATGATGGTCTTGCTTAACGCTTTCTGCTTAATGCTATGCAGCCGTTTTCTTATTGCATGATTTATTATATTTGCTTTCTTTAATTCGTTGTTTTTCGCTGTTGTCTGGCTCTTGCGGTTATTATATACTCTTTTTATTTATTTATTTATTTATTTTTTTTTTTTTTTTAATATTTATAAATTTATTTGTTTTTTATTTGAAGTGAATTCCCTCGGTCTTTTCTTCTTATATCTGCTTGCATCGTCTCACACAATGTTTATGTTTATTAAAATATTTCATTTTTGACATAATTAGAATTTATTGTTGTCTTTTGCTGTGAATTCGCACAAATGTATGCAAATATTCAAACACTAAATAATATATGCTCTATACGCGGTATTGCATGCAACAATTATGCACGTAATATACCGACTTGCATCGAACATTTTCCCGTATCCAAGATGAGTGCATTAAATGTATTGCCGATGATGTATTGCCGCAGAAAAATGCAATAAAAATAGAATAGATTACTGGTAAAAGACCTTATATCGGCTTGGATTTGCAGCGTTTTTTAATAGATGCATTTAAACATAAATAATCTGATATTTCAATAAAAAAAATATGTACTTTTGGCACAAGGCATTCATAGAATAACACTCTACGCAGAGATATGTACAGTTGCATTGATTGAAAGATGGAATAAACTCAAGCCACATCGGACATTTTATTTTACAGGTTTACAAGAAAAGAGAAAGAGGATGAAGAGAAATTATTTCGATTATTTCTCGTTATTCATCTTTGTGGCCTCCTTAACGCGAATCCTGTGCACATGGCGAGCACAAAAATTTGACCAAACTTGCCATCAAAATTTTGTACATCTAATAACGCTCTTGGATCAATTTCCATTATAAAATACTAATTATTACATTTATGTACTTACTAGGAACAATTTGATGGGAAGGTGCGCAAGATGTGGGTCCATCCTATTCACTCAATTAAAATATGCAGAGATGCAAATTTTTCATTACTTTTTATGGAGAAATATTAAAGGTAGCAAAACTTCTCTCATCCAGCGACTTATTTTCACAAAAATGATTCTATATAATCAATTTTCAATACCTTTCGAGCCTAAGACAAAACATGTCAATATACTATAAATCAGGGGACAGAAGAATAACTCAGTTGAAAAACCCCGTAAAATTACTAAAGATAGTTTAACGTCACAATACTAAGAATAAATAATTTTTACAATTTCAAACTAAATTCGATATAGAATTTAAAGGAGATAATTAGATTTGAATTTATATTGTGGACACTCATACTTGCACTTATCCTTCTTTATTATATAAGAAAAAAAAAAACAAACGAACTATTTTGGATTTATTTGCAACATAGCTGTGGGACGTTTAAATATCTGGGTAAAGCTGACCACAATTTGATGTGTGTGGGGAATGAATGTGTATGGATGGACGCAATTTCGAACTGTTGTTCAGTGCTCATAGCAAACTTAAGAGAAATATATCAATAAATGAAAAGCGAAATTAAAAAGATTCTTATACCTAAGTGACATTTTTTCTATAACGAAGATAAGCAGAGTAATATGCAGGAACCGTATGAGTAATATTTCTTCCTGATATCCTTAGTAATTCAATGTAAATTTCATAACAATTTTTATGGATGAGAATTATTTGAAATAATCGAAGCTATGCAATTTACCATTGAGTAAATACAAGAAATAAGTGACGGGAATAATTTATTCCAATTTCAATAACTTATCTTTAACACCTTTCAAGTATAGCTTCTGAAGCCGGGAAAATTATCAACCAATGCCAACAAAGCCCACAAATTTTTGATGCAAAAATCAGAAATCTGGCTTTAAATTGATTTAAATTCTTAAACAAAAGCAAAAACATTTCCGGTGGATACTAAACAATATGCGCGTGTCGATAATTAAGATCCTTAGACTAATGCAAGTGTAAAATACATAAACAACCCTTTTTCACTTCCTCAGCTCAGTTCAGCTCACTTCAGCTCAGCTCAGCGTAGAGATAATACATATAAGCGCATACAATCGCACATGTATAAAAATAAATAGAGACAAACTCTTGTAGCCACAATCAGTCGAGATATTCTTTGTTAACTAACCCTTAACTTAAGGATTAAATTGCATCTGCTGGTTGCTGTTGAATGTTGATGTGGATGCTCAAGCTGATTGTGGTGCTGTTGCTGTTGTCGTTGTCGTTGTCGTTGCCATTGCTATTGCTGTTGCTGTTGCTGTTATTATTATTATTGCATTTGATATCTCTTTGCAAGTCTCCCCTTGTAAACTTAGTTTACCCCTTTTTTTTTTTTTTTTTTGTTGCTTCCGTAAAATAGAGGAATCATTGTGTGTGCCTTTCAACTCGTATCTACCTATACACATACATATGCACAAATAAAATGTATAACTGGCGCATGTGTTTTAATGCTTTATACGTTGTCCTTATTTCTTTTATGTATTTTTCTACAAGTTGTTGCCATTGTTAATATTGTGCTCATAGTTGCTGCTGCCGTTTTTGTTGTTGTTGTTGCTATTATTATTATTATTATTATTGTTGTTGTTGCTATTGTTATGTGGGTGCTTTTTAGCGCTTTATGCGTAACTAACATTTTGCGCTTTGTCAGTCTTTTTAATGAAATGTTGAAAAGCATTTTTTTTTTTTTTTTGTTTTGCTTTGTTTTGGTAAAAGAGAAAAAAACAAAAAAAACAAAAAAAAAACGATTCTTTGCTTTGGTAGAAGCGCTAAATAAAGGAGGTTTTTGTTATGCATCATGTTTATTGTATTGTAAATTGTTGTTATTGTTATTGCTATTTGCTGTTGCTATTGCTGTTACTGTTGTTGTAGTATAGTCTTTGTGTGTTTCTTCCTTTTTGAAAACTAACCGCATCTATGAGGTAACGACCGTCAGAAAAACAGACGTTCACCTTCCCTGTTTTATTTATGTTTTATTTATTTCAGGCATTTATTCATCTATTTAGGTTATGAAGAAATCTTTTGTTTCTCATTTTGAAAAGATTTCTGCCGGATTACCCGTTCGTTAGTTAGAATATAATTTATCGTATTTTTCTTGTTACTTGCATTTGTTAATTATGTATATAATTTTGTAAATATATAACTATTTTTGTTCATTGTCGTTCAATAATAATAAATATGATGAAAATGAGAAACGTTCCTAATACTCATTACTACGCGGCGCGTATACAATTATCACATATTTTAAGAGTTAATGTTTCGGGGGAAACATTCACGAAACAGAACTCCTACGGTATTATTATCACTGCTTCGCCTCCGAGCGATTCTTACAACTAAGTCGGTGAATGAAGCGTTAGTCTTCTTTCTTTCTCTTAATGTAACGTAAGCTTATTATTTCTTACTACGATTAATAAGGAATATTTTATTCAAACGGGATATGCAACTGATGTACGAAAATTTGCTATAATACCGAATATTTTATGTGGAATCAATTTTTATATAGAGGTATCTCATAAATTTCTTCCCCAACACGCTATGCATGACTTCGAGGAGGGTATGTTTGCAAACATGCAGGCTCATCTATTGTTCGTTTATGACCTCGATTCCATCGTCTTACAGCTCTTTCAAGTTATGTTTCGTTGGTGACAGCCTTTCTTAAAAATTTGTTCTACGCCGTTCAATATGGATAGACGAAAAAAGCATTGCGGCACGTCAGGCTTCAATACTCCAAAAAAAGAAGTAGTAGTGCAAAGGACACTGCAGACGAGTTTTGCAGCATTTATAGGAGTGATACTACAACTATTAGAACCGTCCGCAATTGGTTTAAGAAAGTCAGAGATGGAAATTTTGATTTGACAGATGAAGTCTGCAGAAGGGCATCCAGCAACGACGGACATAGACTTCGTCAATAGTACGCTCGCTGAAACTACGCGTTATGGTGTACGCGAGTTTGTGTATGCCACTAACATTCCCAAACATATAATCGTTTAATCGATCTGGTATATATCGTCTATAGATCTCGCATCACAAAAAAAAAAAAAAAGAAAAAGGAAACTAATGTGGTGCCCTAATATTAAAAAAAAAAATAGGTACGAAAACAATATTCGGGTGAGATCAAATCTTTTAAATCTTACACTTTTACCTTAAGAGCCAAAACCAAAAAAGAAATAAGTTTCAACACATTATTGCGCGGGCATGGCCTATTATTTCAGTTTTTATACAACCTATGTAGAATCATCCGAAGAAAACACGTGGAAATATTTGACAACTGGTGCAATGCATTACAGCAATAACGCGTACCTGTTGCACATGCAAGAGCTTATGAAAGCATTTTGGAGGAAAAAAGAAAACCGCTGAGGCAAAACTATGTTTGTTCATTAGATCATTCGTAGCTTTAGTAGCTCAACATTAGCTCAACAAATCAAAAGCTTTCAAAAGCTGTCAACAATCCGGTGGATTGTGCAATTCAACAGGAAATCGCCTGCTTGCGCAAATAACAAAGCACAACCCACAAGCAAAGCGTATGAAAATCTGTTGGTTAATATATCGCGGAAAAAAAATAAAGACCGGCTACCACAAGTATGTGCCTGTTTTGATTTATTGAATTTATATTAGGTTGAAGGACATGCACGTTAATGAATTCTTTTCCGAAACAATATTCACTTGTTCATGCTTTTTTTTTTTGTTGTTTGTGTTTTTTTCCTTTCCTTTTTTTTTTGGGAGATTTTTGAAAAAAAAAAATTAAAATAAGGATTATTTTGCATAAACATTAAAAGGGAATAATGTGTTGATGTTTAAAAGATCGATGGTAAAAAATGAATATTTTTCGGTTTGGCTAATTCAATGATGCGCTGTTTGGGTTTCGCTATAAGAGCGGCCGGTGAAATTCCAAATGGATCATCGCGTGTATGATTGTTTACATACTCTTTTGCTTCAGCTAGCTCTTTAGTTCGTTTAGTTGCTTTATATTTAAGAGCGCCTGGCGAGACAACAAACGGATTCGTTCTCACATTTAATGGAAATGGATCCGCCACATGCCTAGGTTCGGATAATTCAAGTATACGTTTACTGGCTGCAATCAAAAAGACATTGTAAACGAATGTTAGCTGGATTTAAAAAACTTAATACCCTTATGTTTTAAAACGCCAGGAGGGATCTGTGTCGGAAACGGTTTTGAGAGATGTGCGACGTCACGGCGAATTGGTTTGGCTAAATTGTTCGTACGCTTGGAAACTTTGTATTTTTTCGGCATAGGTACAGTTAAAGTCCAACCTAGTTTTTCAGGTTCGTCAAGTTGTTTTTCCCAACGGATTGTGGTCTTCGCACGCGCCGGCTTTGAAGTCACTGCGTTCGAGGATATCTTTTTCGACGACATTGTCCACTAACAGTGCAGTAAAGGGTCGCGCAAACAATTATATTTTGAAGATTTCTTCCTCACAAATTCTTTCCTCCAAACTCGGCGATTGTATTAAGCGTGACTCGTGCCTAACGTAGTTTCAGGAATTTAAGAATTTACAAGAAAAAATTATAAAATAGAGATTTATTAATCCGCACGCACACACGCGTATTGCTGTTGCTTACTTTTCATGCGTCGGTTAAATGTTGCGCGACGCGATTATGGAAACTTTGCTGAAAGCGATTTAAATCAACCAAACCGTGGTCATCAACAACATCCAACAGTAAACGTTAAATTGGCATATGAGCCAATTCTGCGTTTGTGTGGTTATTCCCCTTTTTTAGCAAATTTATTTCATTTACGGAAATTTTTTAATTTCGGAAAGTTTATAACTATTTTAGAAAATGACACGAAAAAGCAAAAAATGTTCTATTGTTTCAACTGACATGGTTTGATTAATATGAACAGATTACTTGCTTTCCCTTATCTTCGACATATAACAAGTAGATCCAATAAAATTTGTGAAAGCAATAAATTTTCTGAGGATAAATACATGAAAGAGAAAAATCTTCGTCATGGGTATTGTCACCTTAGGTATGCAAGGTTTGTCTTGACTGGAACAACTTCCCCCTTCATCCCCTAGAGAGTTCTAGGAAATATTTACAAAGAAATTTTATATCAAAATCGGGCCGGTTTGTTTGTTATAGAGGGATCACATCAATAACTAAGAATATATTTGGACTTTTTTCTTTGTTAGATGCAAAGGTGGAAAGTGAGCGTTTTTTTTTGACGAAATTTAGCTCTCTCACGATCGTAAGCTTTTCATAAACAGACGCCAGAATAAAGATGAAAGAAACTAATGTGAATCTTAATTCTTTCTTGATAGGTATATATGTGTAAATAATGCGAAAAAAGCACGGTAGACGATATTAAATAAATACAACAAATAATATTTAAATCATTGAAGAGAACAATAAAAGTAGCTTTCCATAAAGGGGTTAAGAAATTGTTTCATAAAACTCTGCAACAAAATTGTTCTTGATTGGGATTTTTAAAGATATTTTAATGGTCATCCCTTGCAAGTGCACATATATCTCGGAGTTTCTTTCCGATTCTTTTTCTTACTTTGACGTCTTTTGAAAGTTGTCTGAATGAGAAAACATGACATTTTGCATTTATGTTAATCACCTGCGTGAAAGCGCCCAGCATTGCAAAAATAATGTTGACAATGACAAATACACATGCGTGCCAACAATAACGACATGCAAACAACATACCAATGCGAAAAAGAAAACAATGCTAATAGTTCAAAAATGAAAGCAAATAATACGCACCAGAAAAGTATGAAAATATATTAAAAAGAAAAAAAAAAGAGAAAAAAAAACATGCGAATATCTTTGTTTTGCTGAACACTTTAGAGGAGATGAGGCAATCAGCGTTTTTATGCACACAAAGGCGTACGCAAAATATCGCGTAGTAAAAGTGCGCATGGAAAACTCATTAACGCCAACCAGTCCGCCAGCCAGTCAGTTAGCTTGCCATTCAATGAAGCAAGAAAAAGCAGGAAGGGGAACAACAAATAAGTGTACGAACCAAAGTCGATGATAAATTTGCATTTTCGTTTTTCCATTTCTCGCAATACCAAAAATCGCATAAGACACAACAACCAAGCAAAAAAAAAAAAAAAAAAAAAAAA